AATTTTTAGATTGGGGTTTTTCTTTTTTTGCATGGTTCAATTTTGAACCTTTCGAGGTGAGTCCTCGTGCTTGCCTTCCACTTTGCATCACCAAGGTTTTGGCTGGGGATTTATCAGGCATCTGGATCTTCATCGAGGCTTACTATCCTAGATTGAAATAATTTATCACTACTTTTATGCTTTTAATTTTTTCTGTTCATGGCGTCTGAAATGCAGCTATAAATGGCTACAATCATAATTCACTACTGTATTGAAAGGTCCCAGTTTTATTCAATTGTTCTTAACAGTGCTGTAGAAAAAAAAAAGAGACCAAACCCTTAGAGACACGTGTTGGTCGGTACGGTCTAAACTGCAGTGGCCAAGGTCTTGTGTTGACATCTGGCACGGCCCGCTCACCTTGGTTTGCCATGGGCTGTTGCCGGATGGGCGTTGGGATTTGGGCATGGGCTCACGTGATCAACAGGGACAACTTCACGTGCCTGGGATGTTTTCCCACGTATGAATATTTAATTTTGACTAAAGCTAAAGATTTCATCATTTCTTTTTCTTAAATAATGAAAAAAATTCTTGAATTATGATAATTTACATAAACTAAACTTTTTTTTCAATTATAACCAACGAGTTCTTATTTTTGATTTGTATTTAAGTAAATTTAGTATAATATCTAAAAAATATATTTTGAATTTTTTTTAAAAAATTATTTTTTAATTATATTTAATTAAATTTTTACACTTTTGTTTTTAATTAAATAGATTCTTATGATAATAGTTAATTAACTATCATTAATTAAAATAAAAAAATATTTTATATCATGTGATATTAATATATTAATATGTCATAATAAATGATGATATGATCAATTAATGTGACATAATGATATAATGATATTGATGTTTTTACCCTTTATGTTAACATCGTGCAAATATAAAATTAACAGATGTCATTTTATTTATTGACAATTTAGCAACTATTAATTATAAAAAAATTTTTAATTTAAAATAAATTATAAGGATTTGATTGAATGTAATAAAAAAATTTATTTAAATTTTTTTAAATAACTCAATATCTTTTTAAAGTATTATGCTATTAAACTTTAATTTTAATAAAAAATTAACTATTAGCAAATCTAACTTTAATTAATATTTTTAATTCGTACGACACTTTCTACCTTCCTTCTCATTGTCTCTCTTTAGGATCTACAAAAAAAAAAATTTCTCTTTTTTGTTCCTTATGCCTCTCTCTCTCTATATATCTTTAATTGGTTTTAGTTTTTCCAAAACAACTCTCTTTCTATCTTTTTCCATTTTTTTTTCTGAAAAAATTTGGTTTTAGTTTTTTTTTTCTGTTTTCTCTAAATTTTCATTGATTGATTTTCACCAAATTTAAAAAATTAGACCTAAATCTAGAATATTTTAAATCTTTATTTTTTTTATATTTGAAGAAAAAAAGAGAGGAGATTTTTCAAAAATTACTATAACTAAAAAAAAAAAAGAGGACTTAATTTTTTTTGTATGATTCTAATGTTGGTAGAGGTAACGATTAGCGATTGATGACCGACAACAGAAAAAATGAATGTGGTTCGTTAAATTTTAAGTTTTAGATTCTATTACATTAATTGAGCACATAGTAACATAATTAAGGCCAATAGATAAAATATATTAGATGGTATTGAGTCTAATAGTTATTAATTTTTTATTAAAATTAAAAATTTATTCAAATACAAATCTAAAATTAAAAGTTCGTTTATTGTACAAAGTTAAGAGATTTTTTTATTATTTAAGCCTTTTCGTTTCTTAATTCTTCCACATGCCTCCCTGGCTCTGCTTGATCTGCTGACTAATTCCAGCTGAAGCATTTTGCTTTTATATTAAAAAGGAGAGACTAAGATTTATGGAAAATACTAGAAAACAATTTTACTACTACATTTGTGTGTAGTACCATGTAACAACAGAATGAAAAAAATAGAAATGCATGTAGGGAGACTAGCACCTTAAAGGCCAGGCAAGAGTTTAAGACGATGGGGAGCGAGTTGTCCTAAACTAGTCCTTGTCCCGGTGAACGGTTTCCCAGGATTGTTCGGGCACAGTGGTCCGAGCTGATTTCTTGTTTCTTAAATCACGTATGATCCAGAATTCAGGGATTTGCATGGCAAATTCTTCATAAGATCTTGTAAATTGTCCCAGAGCAGCTCTAGAGTTTTTTTTCCCCCATTTGTTTCATCTTTAACATAAGCAACACATTTCGAGAGAGGCAGACTTGATTTCCTTGACCCTCGTAAATTGTAGATCAGCATCCAGGTTTGACTTCAGTTTTTATCTTTTGATGGCTTAAGTTGCATGGGATAAAACTATCGATTGACGATATATAATTAAATTGGTTTAATCAAATAGTTTGGCTCTAATATAGCCGAATTTTCAGTTATGTCACGGTCATGGGGAATCAAGTATCAATATATCTGATTTTCTCTGAGTACGTGAGGTGCAAAATAAGTGAAGTATGAGTCATTATGAAGCGTTTTAGAGGATTTTGTGGGGTACGTGGGTGGTCTATATCAAGTATTCTAGCGGTGGAGGTGCTGCTGCCGGTGGTTGCGAGATGGAGCAGGTGCTTGGTGGTTCGGTTAGTGAGAGACATAGCCACGCGAACATGGCTTGCATACCCCCTGTTCTACCCCTCTGGCCCATCTCCTCTCAACTCCTCCTTCGATCTCTCCCCCCATTTTGTCCTCCACAAAATTTGTTTTCTTTCCATCCTTTAATATTCAACTATAAATTTAGATAAAATTAAATATAAAATCCGATGGTTGTAATCTAATAATGCAACTCAATTACAATGCCAAACAGGCTTCGGTATATTAATTGTTTCTTATACATTGAAAAGCACTATTCTTGGTGCAAACTAACCAAAAATATACTTACAGACAGTGTTTCCTGTTACCGACATTCTCTTCATTTGATACGAGGGGGGTGAAAATGCAACTGCCATTGAGGGTAATTGACTGAGCCAAAACTCTCCTTTCATGCATGCCATTGTCTCTGAATTAATGAAGAAACTGCTATATATGAAGGAGCTAAATCAGGGATAAAATATCGAGGAGGAATAATGTCATAGACTCGTGTTATTAATCACTAGTTTCAAGGGGCAGTACCGGCAGGTCTTGAGATGCCCGAGATTCGAAAGGCTTTGTGACTTTAGGTAATACTACATGGTGATTTATACATGGGGAGACAAAGGTGCCATTTTTACTTTGTGTTGATTACAAAGGAAGAAATATGGAATTAAATTAGTGGGGGAAAAGACATGGTAGTTGGAAAAGAAGGTGACAAAGTGAAGAGAGAAGGAAGAGAGGCGGCAAAGTCAGTGTTTGGGAACTTGAACCATGTAGCAAGTAGCAACCACACCAGCTTGATACGATATGGAATTTCTCAAACTCCACTCTATTTAACTCTTTATGCAGCTAAGCTTTCACTGGCTTATAGGATTTCTTCGTTTACATCTCTTCAAGTCCAAACTCAATACCATCATCAATCGCCAGCCATCTGCTTTTTGCTGTTTCTGAAAGCCGCAGTCTGCAATATTATTTCACCAAATGAAGGTGAGAACTAAGAAACTGAAAATTAAAAAGCTAGATATATAGTCAAGGAATCAAGAGAATGGGTTTCTTGGTCAGTTTTTATACTTTGTTAAGGTGTTTTTTTTGGCCTTGTTTGATATTCCAGATATTCAGCTGGGTGCAAAACAAGCTCACTAGCAAGAAATCCAACTCGATTCCACCTAATTGTAAGTGTGTACCTATCTTTTCTTGACTTCTACTTTTCAAGGTTTCCATGAACTTTTAAGCTTTTCTCCCCTCCCGGCCTCTCCAGAATCCTTGTAGTAATAAAAAGCTATCCTGTTAACGGAGTGTAATGTGTTTGATCTTCAGACGGCCTATGTTTTGTTTGTATACATTTGTTGGTTTTCTAATGAAGTTATCATCACTAATTCTAAATTTTCATTCCTCTGATCTAGATCATATCCAACAGCCTTGCAAAGAAGAGTTCAACGACTGGCCTCATGGACTGCTAACAATTGGAACTTTTGGAAATAAGATAAAGCAAGAACCAGATCAGAAGGCAAATCTTCAAGAAAATTTCCCTTTGGCACAAGATAATCTGCATGGTCTGACGCCTGAAGAAGTAGGAAAGCTTCAAAAAGAGTTAAACTTAATATTTCACGAACATGTTGGAGTTGGACCGACATCAGATAACCTGGAAGCTCCTAATCTTCCATTTGATAAATTTCTTGACACCAACTCTAGCACGGAAGCTGAAGAAAGGAATTGGAGCGCATGCTTCCATGATTCAAACAAGAAAAACGACCACATTCAATGCAGCACCAGTTTAGTTCACAGTAGAGGGAAAGATATTGGTTTTGATAATTCTAAAGGCGCCATTGGCAAAAAATCATTGTCATTTCTTCTCAAGAAGATGTTTGTTTGCAGAAGTGGATTTTCACCTGCCCCAAGTTTAAGGGATCCAAACCTGGAATCGCGAATGGAGAAGGTACGTATATACATTAATGAACACACACAGAATTTCACTAATTATGTATTTATTAAGTAAACATGTTGTTAAAATATTTTGATATTGGGACTTGCAGTTGTTGAGGACTATACTTCACAAGAAGATATATCCGCAAAGTTCTAGTCCGAAATTGCCTACCAAGAAATCCCTGGAGAGCAGTTATACCCCCAGGACTGCCAATGGGGATGAAAAGGTTGAAAAGGTAGATGATGGAAGTAAATGGGTAAAAACAGACTCCGAATGTAAGTTCATATGGTATTAATCTCCATGTTTATATGCATATATATATGCAGGCATCTTGGCAATGAATGTTTAACTTGATTTGTTTCTTCATTGCAGATATTGTTTTGGAAATATGAAATACCTAATCTTGCTTGGACGACCAACTATGAAGATACATGGTAACTTTTTTGTGTAGATATACTCATGTTTAATACTATTAAGTAATGTACACTTAGTCACTATAACTCACAGGAAGTGAACTTCAGTCTAGAAGTGAATCAAAGTAGAATTGGCTGATGCGTAATCTAAACCTGATTAGTTGATAATAGCTTGTGCTGAACTTTACTTGATGTTTTTGCAGAATGGATATCTACGATACGATAATATATATATGAGTAAATGATATGCTTTGGATGAAGAAATATTTTCATAATCGGTTGTGAGAAAAGAAGATCCAATGATATGTCGAGATACAAGGATCGATGAGAAACAACATGATCAAGTAGTTTATTGCATAATTATTTTGCAGATTGCAAGGTTTTTTTTTTTTTTATTAAAAGCCTTGGAGGAAGACAATGATTCTTTGGAAATGCAAGTTTACATTGATTTTCTCTCCAGTGTTGCATTTTCTAGGTCCTTAAGCTTTGTTTTTGCTTTTTTGAGGATGAGAGGCATATGAATTTCACTTAATAATTTCAACTAGTTTATGATCTAATTACATCTTTTATCTTCTCCTGCATGTACTAATGCAAATATGTAATCCTACCATATTTCTGGGGACAAGTCTTTTGTACCCTGGATTTTATGTGTTTGGGCTGAGCTACGGACCAGAAGTGAGATGAACCAAACTTAATGAGAATGGTCCTGGTCTGCAACCTAATGAACTTCAAGTTTGGGCCAGGGGCGAAGATTTTCTTGGTCAATGCACCATCCATCAATTTTCATTATATTATAGCCTATCAAAACTATTTGCAAATTGAATATATGAAGTGAATTATATATTAGTATTTAGTTTCTTTAACAACAGAAATTCCAGTTTGGTCAATTTTTTTATGCAGCCTGCCACGGGTTGACACTAATATTGACAATCATACCAAGTCCAAAAGACAGCTTCATTATCATAGAAAAAGGACATGATTAAATCTAATACAACGTTCCAAAACCAATTAATTAAAACCAATAATTCATAATAATTAGAAATAGAAACCCCATATTCAATCCGATATTACTGTATTAAATTGTTTAGTTGCCCCCAAGGTCAGAGGGTGTTGAGCTGAGTTAACTTTGTTTTTACTCTGTCGCAGTTAAAATTATTCAATAAATAATAAATTGAAGATTAGAAAGGAAGGGAAAAAACAAAAGATTGAATGATTGATCCACCAAGGCTTTTAATTTTGCTTCTTGCCAAGAAAAGCTCTAAACCTAACCTAACTCTCTCCCTTCTCTTTCTCTCTCTTCTTCTTTTCCCTCATAAGAGCTCCCTACAATTTGGTCAATAAAGCTAGGGTTTTACAGCTTTGGAGGTGATCTCTTCTGGGTTCACACTTATTGAGAGAGAGGTTTTGCTAAGATTTGAATTTTTTTTTTTTGTTGGTGGGGAAGAGTGGTTTAAACATTGGAGGGTTGATTGGGAAGCCAATGCCATTTGTTTGGAAAATTGGAATTGAAGTAACAAAGAAGAATAATTTCCATGTCTTGGGCTGGCCCTGATGATATCTTTCTCTCCACTTCTCTTGCCACCTATCTTGACAGTAATCTCTCTCTCCCTCTCTCTGTGTTTTATTTGTTGTATAAAAGCCAATGCAATTGGAATTTTTTGATGTCTTATTTGCAGTCTTTAAATTACCTTGCTTTGGGTTTTCTTTTTCTTTTTCTTTTTTCATTTTTTCTTAGATGTTAGGTTCGCTTTGTTTAATGATACTGTTTGATTCAGGGGATTCTTGTTTGTGTTCTTTCTCTATTGGTTCTTTCTCTTTATGAAGTTTTGTTCTTTACTGTTCTTGGATTGTCAGTATTTTTGTGATTTCGTTTTCTTTTAAGAATTGGGAGGAGCTGGTTTGGTGAACTACTTGTTTTCTTAGCTTGGAAGACATGCGAAGTTTGGTGAAAAGAGTTTGTTCAAGGAAAGAGGACCTCTTCTATTCGTTTTTCCAATCATGATGGAAATGTCAATTGGTTTTGTGCTAAAGACTCTGGGGATCTTCACAAGACTCATTTTGTATTTAAAGTTACAAGCTTTCAACTTTGCTTTCGTGGAATTTCATAATTGCATTGTTTGGAGAATATTGAATGAAAGTTGCCATCTTGGAAACTTGGGTGGCATCTCAAATTGCTATGTTGCAATCTGACTTTTGTTCCTAGTAGAATTTCTGTTATTGACGCATGATAATTCTCTTTCACAAGTCTCAGAGAGTGAGAGACAGAGTTGGTTAGCATAAGCTATGCACCTGAAATTATATCATATTTTGATTCCAGACTCCCTTGAATGTTTTTGTTTGTAGTTATCTATCTCCCTACATTCCCATTTTGTCTGCTAGAGGTTTCTCTTCATATTGCAACGGTTGTTTAGTAAATTGTCTGTGATTTAGATCTTTAATGATTGTAAAACATTCCTTAAAACTTTAATCTATTTTGCAGAAAAGCTTCTTGTCTTGCTGAGAGATGGCAGGAAACTTTTGGGATTACTGCGTTCTTTTGACCAATTTGGTAGTTTGTCTTGATCTTATTCTTTGCTGAGTTCTTTCTGCTGTCTTTGTTTCTGTTAACTTTTCTTTGTTTTGTTCTGACGTCTAATGACTGATGTGCTTTTCTTCACATTAACAGCTAATGTTGTTCTAGAAGGAGCTTGTGAGCGTGTTATCGTTGGCGATCTGTACTGTGACATCCCCTTAGGTCTATATGTAATCCGTGGGGAGAATGTTGTCTTAATAGGAGAGCTGGTATGCTGTTTATGCTATATTTTTTTCACCCTTTTTCTTGTCTTGGCATGTGGAATTGTTTTGTTGTACAGTGAAGCTTGTTTCTTATTTATAATTGCTACTCTCTATACAGGACTTGGAAAAGGAGGAGCTTCCCTCACATATGACTGCTGTATCAGCAGCCGAGATAAAAAGGGTAAGTGGCTTCTTACAATTCTTTATTTCTTTGCATGTTTTGCATGGTTTGCCATAAAAACTATGAATGAATTTGCATTTGTAGAATATGTGTGCTATAGGTGGATGATAACTGTTATCCTGTAATGTTATTATTATCTCATTAGGCATGGCTGGGAAGCTAGTTAAGTGAATGTCATAGGCTACTACTTTCTGTTTTGAGTAGAAATGTGTGCTGGGCTTTATGACAGAAACCTTCTATTATTAAATTTTGTTTTCCCAGACAAGCACATTTTTTTTTTTAATTTAATTCATGAAGGAACTTCCATAATTTGTTTTTGAAACTTTGATCAATATATCATTTATTAACAGGGAACTCTAATGTCACTCTAAACACTATGTTGAGCTATTAATCAAATGACCAATTGACCAGGTCATTTTCCATGCTTCCCATCATTGAATAGGTGGAGAAATCTATTTGACCAAGCCCATCTTGTGAAAGGCTAGGTGGATATTTCCACTTTTAAGGGGTTTTTAGTTTACCATGCTGTACATGTCTATTTTCTCTTCTGGTTTTGGTCACTTTTAAGGGGTTTGTTGTTTACCATGCCATACATGTCTATTTTCTCTTCTGGTTTTGGCAAAGAAAGCTAGTAATTATTTTCTCTTCTGATATGATTTTTGAAAATTGTACACATCATGGATTACTTGTCTCTTTATCCTTTTCCAGGCTCAGAAAGCAGAAAGAGAAGCTACAGATCTGAAGGGCTCCATGAGAAAAAGAATGGAGTTCCTTGATTTTGATTAATAGGTCCTGCTGTTTTCTTAGAGTTCATGCCATATTCGCAAATATTAGTGCGATTGTGACCCAAAATTTGAACAAGGGTGGGATAGGCATGAAAGATTCTTACGTCATCTCTGTTATTGGAGGAAGCTAGAAGAGGGGGAGAAAGTTTTAACCATTCTGAAGACCTTATTTGCTAAAAGGTTGGGAAGAGGAAGTTAATTTTTCTGTCTCTTAAGAGGCAATGATGATGATTTCCTTGCACCTTTGTAGCATGGGCTCTAGCTCTATGTGCAATACCCATAATTTGGTGCTTCAGTGATTTTAGGGTTTTGAGAGTTTTCTGTTTATACCAAAAATTATCTTGTTTCTCCTTCTTTTAGTTTCTCGTTACATCCTTTCTAGGCTCCTACATTTCATTCGAATAGAAATTGTTTCAGAATTGCTGTGGTTTGTTGCGTTGGTGCCGCAATCTGTAATGGCAGTCACGTACAATTTATTTGTAACGAGT